GTGGGCAGTTTCCTAAAATGGCATAACATTTTCAATCTGTTGCTTTTTCCCAATACCACACAGAGAAGTGACCCTATAATCACACACTGATGACCCAGCCGGTGGGACCTGCAGCTTGCAATTAACAGTTCCCTCCAAAGCATCCTCAATACTGCACATCACAGCATGCGGAGAGGGGCAATGTCTTTCTGATTTCACCAGAGACAGGCTTACAGCCCAAAATGCGAAGCAAGATTCTCCCTGCCCTTATCATGCCATGCCTAGCAGTGGCTCAGAGTAGCCACAGACCCACTTTTTAAAGTGTGTCACACTTTTTTCTGGACAATGCTCTGTCAATGAGTCCTACCAGCTGCTGTCACAGGGTGTGGGGAGGCCTTAGCACACCCATCCTCACTTAAAGTGGGCCTGCGACTGAACTGAGCAGGGAGGCTATGGTATAAGTGGGTGGCCAGCCACAGCTGACTTGATGGACAAAATAAGACTGAAGAGAAAGGCAGAGGTAGCAAATTTTCCAGCAATGGAAAGTGTATGCACATATGCGAGAAAGAGAAATCTGTGTGCGGGCTGCAAAAATAACCATGTTTTAGCATAGCTGTAGTCAAATGACGTCACACATGGTTTGTTCTTGCCCACATGGATATTCTACAACCCTGGACTTCTTTCTGGACTTCAGCAAGGCCTTTGACACTGTCTCCCACCCCATTCTCATTAAAAAACTAGGTGACTGTGGCATTGATGCCTACACAGTCAGATGGATTGCAAATTGGCTGAAGGGTGGTATTCAGAGGGTAGTGGTGGACGGGTCTTTTTCGACCTGGAGGGATGTGAGCAGTGGAGTCCCCCAGGGCTCGGTCCTTGGGCCCGCACTTTTCAATTTCTTTATTAGTGACTTGGACGACGGGGTAAAAAGCAGCCTGTTTAAATTTGCTGATAATACCAGGATTTGGGGTGAGGTGGGCACGCTAGTAGGGAAGGACAGATTACAGCGGGACCTGGATGTCTCCAAGATGAACATGGGTCGGCAATGTGGGGAGGCGGCTAGGAAGGCCAACTGCACCTTGTCATGCATCCACAGATGCATCTCAAGCAGGTCCAAGGAGGTGATCCTCCCCCTCTATGCGGCACTGGTCAGGCCGCAGCTGGAGTACTGCGTCCAGTTCTGGGCGCCGCACTTCAGGAGGGATGTGGACAACATGGAGAGGGTCCAAAGGAGGCCACCCGCATGATCCGGGGACAGCAGGGCAGACCCTACGAAGAGAGGCTACAGGACCTGAACCTGTTCAGCCTTCACAAGAGAAGGCTGAGGGGAGACCTGGTGGCTGTCTATAAACTCACGAGGGGAACCAGAAGGGTTTGGGGGAGACACTGTTCCCCCGAGTGCCCCCTGGGGTAACAAGGAATAATGGCCACAAGTTGTTAGGGAGTAGGTTTAGACTAGACATCCAAAGGCGCGACTTCACAGTCAGGGCGGCTAGGATCTGGAACCAACTTCCAAGGGAAGTGGTGCTGGCTCCTACCCTGGGGGTCTTGAAGAGGAGGCTTGACATCTATCTGGCTGGGGTCATTTGAGCCTGGTTTTCTCTCCTGCCCAGGGCAGGGGGTCAGACTTGATGATCTACAAGGTCCCTTCTGACCCTACTTCTGTGACTCTATGAATCTATTAGATACCCGTGCTTTAACTAGGGTGATTACATGGTCTCTAGCAAAGTAGATCACATGGAAAAAGCAACCATGCTTTGGGTATGGCCATTTTTGAAATGCAGGTATAGCAGAATTACTTTAAGAGTAAACAGGGAGGAGGTGGGCAAGGTGTTAAACAATCTGCCTATTTCCAGGGATCTATTTTGTAGCTGTGCTGGCTTGAGACAAAAAGAGATACACAGAGCTCTTGGTTTGGGGGTCATATCTTTTATTAGGCCAACTAAATAGTAGCAAAAACACTGGGTCTCTCCTTATGAGGAGCTGATAGCAATGCAAATAACTTGCCTTCAGGACAGGGCTTTGGTAGCATGGTAGAGACAAGGCTGCAAGAAGGTGGCCAGGCAGTGCAGAAAGAAGCTTTCTAGTCTTAGGAGATGTGGTTTGTGGCTTGATGTTAGTGTCAGCAAGACCCTGCTTTAAAGGACAAGTCTCCCAGGATCCCAGCAAGCCCTTAAAAACAAAGGAGCCTTTGGGGAAACTGGTAATGCATTGTGGATAGCGCAATTCAGAATACTGACCTCCTGCTACAGTGGGATCAGGTCACGGTGGTCAGTTAGATTAGGACTAATTAAATCATTCAGTAAAAGTAAATAAAGAGTCTTTTAACATTACAGGGAATCTCAGAGCACTGGCTAAAGAGACTTGACAGTGTGTCAATACTGCAGTCCAAGGGTGGAGGGAATGCAACCTGTGCCAGGTAGTCTAGCTAACACAAGCAGCAATGGCAAGGCAGCAAAAAACACGGGCTTTAGTGCACGATAGTGACCAGGGCACAAGAACCCAGGGCATGTGCTCTGGTTGCTAGTGCATCCACCAAGCCTTCTCTCCTTGACGCTTAGACTGAGCAAGCATATGCTGTGCTTACACGGTCACTTTCCTATATAGACACACCCAAAAGTTGCCTAGCCTTAAACCAGTTAGCCTGGCTATCCTAGTGTATCCCTAGCAATATGGAGCTCAGTGCAAACTACAAACTCAGCCGGGATGCTGGAGGTCTGAGCGCCGTGCTGCTATGGCCATACTGCTCCCAGTGCTCAAGACAGCCTGAGGGAAGCTAGCTGGGATGTCTGCACCAACTGCAGTCACACCTTGGGATCTTAATGTAGATCAGCAATCCTTAACCTGCGTTCAGCAGCCCCCAAGGTGCCATGACATCCTTTTAAGCATGCTGCAGGGTAGTGTGTAAACATCTACAGAGTCACAAGATACACCTAGGAATTTCAAATAGGACCCCATACTCTCAAAAATGTTCTGACCTGTCGGGATCTTTCTGAGCTCTTTGCGGCAGATGTGCTCTATTTTTTTGTAGTCAAAAAACTACGAGCTGGCACTTCCCCATGGTTGCCTGGGGTCTAATGAGGTTGAGAACCACCGGTGTAGATAGACCCCAAAAGCACTGCGAACACCCCTCGCGTAGCAGACTGGCTTTTACCTGTTCACGGAAATATTTAAGTGAATCTTTTTGCATATGGGATGTCTGAAGTCAAGCAACCAAACCAGTGGCCTGACTCTCAGAGCTTCCCACAGAAACAACTGCTCAGTCCCTCTGACTGTCAGGTCATTGATTTTGGACGGTAAGCATCAGGGGCGTTATGTGACTGTAGTTGGGACACTTTTTATGTTGGCAAATTCCATCAACATTAGTAGCTACCTCTGGTGCAAACCTCCAAGGAATAACAATGGATTTAGGTGCCTAGTGTTGTCATTGTTATTATTGGTATTATTATTGCCTATGCCTGAAAATGGTGCTATTGATAGTTTTCAATTTTTTTTATGTAATGCAATCTTGGACTATAAGTACAGAGAGCTTGATCCTGCAGGTATTGCCATGGAAATAGGATGCTCGCTACCATGGAGTTTAATAATTTACCTGCCAGAGAAAGCAAGTGCCCAGCAGCGTTTCCAGGATTGGACCCTTGGATTGTGAATTTCTTGGGAAAGATGAGTAGCGCAGAGTGATGCTGTAGCTGTGATGGTTCAGAAATTATGCCAGAGGCAAGGGTTTCTTGGGATGATGTCTTTTATTGGACCAACCGAGTAGAAAATCCCAACTGTGGGATATCCCAGCTACACAGTTGGTCCAGTAAAAGATATCCTTGCCTCTTGGGAAAGAGTCTCACTTCTCACAGGTCTTGTCACAGCAGCAGAAAGTGCATGTAAAATGCTGCTAGGATTGTGACCTCTTTGGGGAGCAGCTCTCCCTGTTCTGCATGTGTACAGCACCCTGCCCAGTAGGCACTACTTTGGGCCAACTAAGCTAGCAATTAAAATAATATCTGAGATTGCTATTAGTACCACAGCTGAGTCGCATGGAGAACGCTGCTGTCGCAGCCCTGCAGATGGGCCGTGGGCGACTGTCAATGCATCTGGGCAGTCAGTCTCCCTGTCTGCGCGCTTCTGGCTTGGGATAAACGTTAAGCTAGTTATACCGGGAAGCCATGACTCATTCAAAACAGGATACAGTCACTGTGCAACAAGCACACCCCCATCCAGAGCTCTGCCAGCTGTTCCTACTCAGGCTCTTGCAAACACAAGAGCGGAGTTCCCTGTCTGGAAGGGCAAACACTCGTCACATGACTAATCTTAGTCCACTGACTTAAATGGGGCTCATTGCCTGCATACTCATTTCCAAGGCTGGGACCTTGGAGATCATGGCCCGATTTGCAAGGTATTTAGGTGCCTGGTTCTCACGGCAACCAATGAATGAATCTAGACCCAAGCAAAGGGGACTCCCTTTGACAGCTCAGGGTGCCAAACCCAGGCCCCTAATGCTTCCCAGTGCCCCAGCCACCGCCTCCTCCTTCCCCCCGGGTCTCTCCGCAGCCAGAGATGCGCAGATCCGGCCCGCACCTGCGCTCCAGATGGGCACGGCAGCGTGAGGAGTGATCCGGGCCTGCAGCAGTCGCCGGGCCACGAGAGGCCGGCTTAGCCGCTCTCTCGTGGGCTTAGCCCACCAAATACCGCGTCACGTGCAGCTGATTGTGGGGGGCAACAACTGCACGCGGGGGGCAGTGCAGGTCACAGGGGTAAACCGGGCGCAGCAGACGGGGGCCGCCCCCGCCCTCGCGCGTGCCAGCGGCGCCGCGGTCAGCGCGGGACAAGCCCTTCCCGAGGGTGGGGGGCGGGGCCG